TGGGAGTCTGGGTGAACGAAGACGCTGCAGGAGGTATGGACCGAGGAGCTTTTCTTTGGCATTTGTGAGAACTGGCTTCTTCTCTGGAATTTACAGCTTTGTGACCGCAGCTGCCACCAAGTTCACTTGGCAAAGGGTCTGAAAAAGTTCTGCCTTCCTCTAGGTGAAGGGGGTCCCATGCTTGTGTCCACACTTACCCTCTCTGTCATCTGGGTGCCTTTGTGCAGTGTGCCCCCAATACAACTGTACGTAGCACCTCTGTTTGTGCCCTTGGGCAAGTCATGGTTTTTTTCTTTTTTAATTTATTATTATTATTTTTAAAGTGGTTTATTTTATTTTATTTTTTCCCCTCTTTAATTCCCCCCCTCACTTCCACCCCTGACCTATGGATGTTGCCGTTTCCCTTCTTTTTTAGGAACTGGATCTCCGAAGGCGGGGCATTTCCCCCCGCAAGTTCGGGGTGTGCACCCGGGGCCTGGCACCCCGGGATGTGGTCCGTGGCTCCACCTGGGGCACGAACCCAGGACCTCCTGTGTGTAAAGCAGACGTGCTAACCACTACACTATAGAGTCACCCAAGTCATGGTTTCTTAACCTCTTTCTGGGCCTCTGAGCTTCAGCTTACCTATCTATAAAATGAAGTTCTACAGTTATTTCTTACATGTTCCCAGAGCAGTTTGGAGGTTCACATACATTACAATGTCTTCCTTAGGCATTTCTGGGCCCTCTGAGGAACAAGAGATTGTTACAGCCTCCAGGATGTGTTTACAAGCAGAATGCGGAGGCTGTGAAATGTGTGCCATATCAAGATCACACAGATCGGAATGGGAGCCTCCAGACTCCTACCTGGGCTCTGTTCCAAGCCTTTCCTACTGGAGCCAGCTGAGACCTCTGGCCTGCTGGGAAGCAGAGCCAGGCCTGGGAGGACTGGGTCTTAGTGGACCCAATGTTAACGACTATACTGGAAGCATGTTGAAATCCCCCAAACCCAAGAGTTAAACAACCTCGGGGCCACAAAGCATAGCATCATCATCCTCTGCACCAAGGCCAGAGAGCACCTTAGCAGCTGCTGGGAGTGGGGCAAGGGGTAGCTGGACTGTAGGGCTGGGTCTGGTTTTCCACATCTGTAAAACTAGTGCTTGGTAACCATTCACTGCTATTGTTATAATGTTATGATCATTAGAAATACCATAAGCTTCCTGATCCTTTGAGGGCTCAGCGGCACCCTCTAAGTGCCAGGCCTTGTGTGAGTCCCGGGGCCACGACGGAGCAAGACTTCAGGAGCTTGCAGGTGAGTGGGCAAGACGGATAGTTGGTAAGTTTTATCATGGGAGAGTGTCGAAGGCTGGAGGAGCCCGGAGTGCGTGAAGACGGTCTTAACCCAGGCTAACTGAGGCTGGTGTCAGTGAGAAAAGTTTTCAGAACAATCCAAAATCCATGGTGTAGTTATTGTCTCCATTTTTCAGATGCAGAAACCAAGGCTTGGAAAGGTCACACAGCTGTTCACTGATGGAGCTAAACTCTAACCCGGGGCTGCCTGGCTCTAAAGTTGGAGCATTCTCACCGACAGCACCCCAGGTCTGGGACCCTTCTTCCTGGTCTACTCTTGGGGGTCCTGGTTAAAGGGTGAGCAGGAGCCTGATCATGAAGGGCCTCAAACCCAGGTTCTTTCTGAAGGTTTTAGGCAACCATGATGGGTTTTCAAGTGGGGAGGCGGGTAGTAGGGGCGGCATAGCCTGGAAGGCTACAGAGGAGTAAGTTTGCTGGAAGAGGTGGCCTTGGATGTGGGAAATCTAAACAATCCCAGACTCACCTGCTACCCATAAGGAATGACGACATGTGTAGGAGTGCTGGGGATCAACATCTTAGGACTCAGGTGTGTCCTTAGGGGCCGGGAAACCAGGGTACTAGGAAGACCCAAAGATCCAGTGCCTGGCCGCTACGAGCCAGAAGAGAGGGAGGAGGCCTGAATTCACACCTGGGCCCAGGTTGGGCCAGGCAAGAAATTGAGGGTGGGCGTGGGGGGCAAGAGAAGAAGGGTTGTTTCTATTTCCCAGGGTGGACATCAGAAATAGGGTTGGGTGGGGTGGGGTCCAAAGGGCTGAGGCCTAGGAGATATTTCCTCTTTCTCACAGTGCAGAGCTATCTCACTCCTGCAGCCTCCCACCTGCTTCACCCCTGCCTTCTACCTGGTAAGTGCTGGCCAGGGTGCTCAGGGAGAAAGAGGCTTAAACAACCAAAGGCCCCTTGCCTGTACCCCCAACCCCACTGCACCTTAGAGGGGAAAGATTGAAAAACCAAGCCAGCCAGAAATAAGGCTCCTTCAGCCCACAGTGGCCTCATCCAAACCCCACTTTTAATGCAAAACTAAATCCCAGTCCAGCGTGAGCCCCACGCTTAGTCCCAAATCCAACCCCCATCATACAGCTAAGCCAACCATACATAGCTCCAGCTTTGTCTGCAGACTCAGCTCGACCTCAGCCTTACCAAGGAACCCTAACTAACCTCAACCAGTCTCCATGTCAATTATAACCCCACAGCAACCTAATCTGAACTACACCCCCATTTCCAAACCTAACCCTAACACTTGCCCTATCCCCAACCTCAGCTCTGTTCTAACCCTGACCCTAACCTCAACTCGAATCCTAACTTGAACTTCTATCACTAACTGCTACATCATCTTCTCTAATATGACCCCAATTCCAACATGTAACCTAAGGCTGATCTTGACCCAGATTTTGCCCTAACCCTGCTCAACTTCACCCGGCCTCAATCCCAGCCCTAGCACCACCGTCGGCTACACTCCTGATCTGTGCCTGGTGTTCACCTTCATCCCAGTGGAAATAAATTTCACCCTTATGTGTATCTTGAGCCTCACTTTCAACCCAAACTCCATCCATAACCCTAATGTTCCCTACCCCATCCCTAACCCTCCCTGGTGCTCACTCCCATCCAGCTCTCAGCTAGCAGAGGCCACCACATGGCTGGACTGGATGTGTAGACCTCAGTGTAAACACATAAACACACACCTCTCAGCATGCACATGCACACCTGAGTGTACATACACACACCTCAGTGCGCACAGACACACACACCTCTCGGCATGTACATACACACACCTCAGCACACACACACACACACATCTCTCAGCATACACATGCACACCTGAGCATACATACACACACCTCACCACACACACACACACACACACACACCTCTCAGCATGCACATGCACACCTGAGCATACATACACACACCTCAGTGTGCACAAACACACACACACCCCAGAAATGGGGGAAGTTCTATCTAGCTCTGAGGGTGGCCTGGAAAGGCAGATAGAACGAATGTTCCCTGCCCCTCCCTGGGGCCGGACCCCTTTGTAGTTCCCTCCTTGTTAGGCTCTACTCCCTGCAATTCCTTCAATATTGACTTTCCCCACCCGGGGATTTCCACCCCCGACCCCTTCCTTGGAGCTCACCTGGCTTCCAGCCAGGTTTATTTGTAGGTTAGACCTATGGAGCTCCAAGGACTTCCCTTTGTCTCTGTCCTAGGGGCCCTGCTTACAACAGAACACAATAAGCACACACTGTGCCAGGGCACGGTCCTCATGGGGGTCAGAGCTTAGAGGGGCAGAGACGCACGCCAGGCAATCCCATCCAACAAAATCCCTGGTAGGGGAGTGTACCTGGTTCTATGGGGACTAAGAAAGGTTATTTAGCTGGGCCTTAAAGTAGAAGTAGGAGTTTACCTAGTGACAAGGAAGGAAAAGCCTTCCAGGCAGATGGAAAAGCACGTTCAAAGGCAGGAAGCTTGCTCAGGATGGATTGGGGAGGTGAGCCTGGCAGGACAGGCCAGGGTTGGGGAGATGAGTCAGGGCTAGTTGGGAGAGGCAGAGCAAAAGAGGAAGGCGCACATGGGGCGTGCATGGTTGGCAGGCAGAAACAGCAGGCCAGAGGAGGAGGAAGCCAGGGGAGCAGGGGCAGAGGAATTAGGAGGGATGGGGAAGAGCTCGTTGGAGGACAATCTGAGGCTGAAGGACAGGCAGGACAACCGGATCAGCACAGGATGAAGACAGGTTGTGTCTCAGACAGGCAGGTCACTAGAGATGCCAATGGAGGTCAGAAGCTGATGCTGCTATTGATAAAAATAATAACCGAATGACCTTTTACTGAGTGCTCTGTGTGTCAGGCATTGAGCTAAGCATTTTTATAATCTTATTTAATCCTCAGAATAACTCTGCAAGGCAGGTATTATTATTGGTCCTCAAAACACAATGGACACTGAGGCTTAGAGAGGGGAAACAATTTGTCCGAGTTCACACATATTGAAATTGGGCAATAGATAGAACTTGAACCCAGACCTGTGGGATGGCAGGGCTGAGTCCTCCCACAAAATCAGAGTGGCCACACCTAGTACCTGCCTTTGTCTGTAGCCTCATCTCTCATCAGTTGAAGCCCCCCATAACCTTCTCCTCCCCCTAGGCTGAATTACTCATATTTCTCTAAATATTCCAGGCCCATCTCACCTGCTGACTATCCCAAATGTAGCATCTTCCACAAAAAATGGCCTCTACCTCCAACCCCTTCTCTATGAAAATGTCCACTGGTTCTTCTTTGAGAAATTTTCCTGAACTGCTCTGATCCTGGGCAGGGTGAGGTGGCCCCTTCATTCCCTACCCCACTCCTGCCCATTCCCCTAATCAGCCTGCGTGGTCACAGTCTGGGCCCCCTCCACAAGGGCTGGGCTCGGTCTGCAGCCCTGCCTCAGTGCAAGGCCTGGCCCAGAACAGTTGTCAGTGTGTATGGTTGGTGAAATGCGGGATCTAGCTGGCTGTAGGTCAAAAGTAGGTGCGCAGGGAGGGGACTGATCTCTTATCTGCAGGGGCTATCTGGAGCCTTATCTGATAAGGCCTGAATTGACAGTGAGCAGATGAAATGTTGACAGGCCTCCTGGGTTACTCAGTAACCCTGCCTTCTTCAAAATTCCCACTGTTTCCCTTTGGCATCCAGAACCAGCCACTCCTCTCTCTTGGGCACTGCTGCCATGAACACCTTCCTGCTAGCCACACTGTGCCTCTTTGGGGCCTGGGCAGCTCTGGTAGGCGGGGTCACCGTGCAGGTAAGTCCTGTCCCTATCCTGGTCCAGTTGGCTCTCTGCCTCTAGTGCCAGAGGCCTATGCCCCGGTAGAGGACCTCCTCTTTGGGGGCTGGAGTGGAGATGTGTGTCAAAGGCTTGGCTCTTCCTCAGGGACCCCTTCTCAGTCCTGACATACACATTTCCCTTAGGACTTAGAGAAGAAAGGACACCAGATAAGCAGAAAATAAAAAGCCATTTGGGAAAGGCAGATGATTAGCCAATTTAACGAGTTCTAGCTACCTCTAGTACCTCGCTGCAGCCCCAATCACCCTAGGAAGAAAGGATGATTGGTTTCATTTTTCAGAGGAGGAAAATTGAGCCTCAGAGAAGTTCTACAACAGCCACGGCACACGGCTGGGAAACGAAGGAGCTAGATTCAACTCTAGACTTTACTCCTCAGTTCTGTGCTCAGCCAGAGCACTAGCTGGGGTCGCAGCACTCATGAGGGCATCCTGGAGGTCCCAACGGAACAACGTGCCCACTGGTGTGGATGCCAGTGACAGGACAGCCTGGCACCCAGCAGGGGCCCCACTTTCTGTCACAGCCAGGCTCTGGGAGGCTTTTTATTGCTTCTCAAACATTAACCAGACCACAGCCTGGAGCTGGGGGCTGAGTAATCAGCCGGCACCACTGTCAGGCAGGGGCGTAGACAGCCCCAGGCATGGCCACGTGGAACCAAGATGTCTGGGTGGGTCCTGATCCTAGTACTGTGCCTCTCCTTAAAAATCAGCACAATGGCTCCCACATATCATGCACCTATTGTGTCCCTGACACATCACATCCATATTCTCCATTCCTTGTATAACATGTAGAAACTAAAGCTCCCAGAGTTTTAACGACCTGTCCGTGGTCACAGGGCAAAATCAGGATTCAAGCCCAGTGTCCAGCTCTAAGTCCCGAGCTCTAACCACCTCATATTGCCTCACAGTGGAGCGTCTGTTTCCTATTTGCCACAATTACTGCTTGAGCCACTGGGGCTGGAGAGGGGCCAGCCCTGGGGGAAAATGGTCAGCCAGCAGGCTGCAGCCAGGCTCATGCTCTTGACATGTCTCTCTCAGGATGGAGAGTTCTCCTTTCCTTTGGAGTCAGTGAAAAAGCTCAAGAATCTCCAGGAGCCCAGGATTCGGAACCGCAGGCAACTTGATGGACCCGTGGATTCCACCCTCTGTAGCCATCCAAAGTTTCCTGAAGAACTCAAGCCTCTCTGCAAGAAGCCCAATGCCCAGGAGATCCTCCAGAGGCTGAGTGGGTTGCCTTCTCTCTGATGGGGGGTTTTGAGAATGCCCTGATTGGTGGGATTCAGAAGTGGGACTCTGATCTGATTGGTGAGACTAAGTGGCTTTGCTCTGATTGGTGGGTCATATGAAGCCCTCTGCTGTGATTCTCAATGGTAAGTGGGGAGGCTTACTTTAGGAAGGTCCTCGCTCTGATCGATGCATTGGTAGCACTTCTCCTGGTTCATCCAGTCTTAGCTGAAGCTCTTTTCTAGGTAGAATTTCCTCTGATTGGCTGGCTTGAGCAGTATCTTTATCCTGGTTTGGGGTGGAAAGCCCAGCTGGTCAGAGAGGATAGGCCTAGGTTTCTCCCAGGGACTGGGTGGCCCATGGAAAGGCGGGGGCTTTAGGGAGGGAAGCTGGCTCTCACAGGCCCCCATCTCTCCTGTCCAGGGGCCATTGCTGATGACCCGAGCGTCTGTGAGATCTGTGCCTACGCTGCCTGTGCTGGATGCTAGGGCAGCAGAGGCTCGCTGCCTTCTGCCCCTCTCCTGCAGGATGCTCCCACTCCTGGCAGCACAATCTGCCCTGCCCCCTGAATGGTGGATTGAGGCCAGAGACACCTGGGAAGGCCCATCCTTTGACACCATCCCAGCTGCCGGGTGCTTCCCAAGACCTACTCCAACCCTTAGTTAATAAACCAGATTCCAGAGTACTTCTGGTGTTGCTTTCATTTATTCCTTCGTCTCTCAGTCTACTCATCATCCAGCTTTGAGGATGCCTGACCCCGAAAGTTCAGGGTTTTGTATGCTAAGTGCAAAGTCCCTACTCTCTCTGCTAAGCTACCAACTACCACAAACAGACACTGACGGACTTTAAGCTCCAGACCACTGATGGGGGAGGTGGAATCTCTGCTTTTCTTTCACATCTCTTGGGGTCACCCAAGTCGCTAAGCCACATGTGAGAGCACAGGAGTCACAGAGGGTTACAAGATCTGCCCTGAGCTCTAGAGTATTCATGGTGTCTCAGGATCTGGCCACTGACCACTACAGCGTTGCTGATGAAGGACAGGGCACATTTCCCAAGTGGAGATTCAAGTCCTGTACCAAGAGAGGGAGGGTTCTTGACGGAGCACAGGAAAGAATTCAAGCACACACCAGAGTTAGAGACAAAGGAAAGTTTATTGGAGAAGGGGTAACGCTCCACAGACAGAGGGTGGTCTTCTCTCAGAGACAGAGTGAGAGAGCTGAGAGGAAGAGAGAGAGAAAACACAATGAGAAGGACCCCGAGTGCTTGGAAAATTTAGTTTATATATCATTTAGTGTCTATGAATTACAGTTTAAAGACTGTTTACCTATTTTCCTTTGATGGTATGGGTATACAGTGTGAAAGTAAGGATTTATAGTGTGAAAGGGGTGGGTATGTAGTGAGAAAGCCTGCTGGCATTTCCCAGGCTTTGATCTATAGGTTCCTCGTGGTTTTTGGCCATAGGGAATGAGTGTAGTGTACAACTTAAAGACTGTTTTCCCTTCATGGTATGGGTAAGTGATTTGTTAGTAATCCCAGTGAGAATCTTCTTTCATTCTGTAGGCTTCCTTGTGCGCTGGCCCATAGGGCTGATCAGCACATTGCAGTCTCTGAATATAGTTTGATTTAGTTCTAGTGCCTCCTCCCTACATCATTGCCTCCTGCCCTCCCCCAGGGCCCACACCCCAAGCTACAACTCTCAGCATTTCCTCTACTCCTCTCGCCTCTGCACTGCTCCTCTTCCCGGCGATGCAGGTGATGCAGTCCAGGGGATGCAGGACAGGGCAAATTTCCCCGAGTGATGGGGCGACCAAGCCCCGTACCAACAGAGAAGAAGGTCCCTTGGCAGAGATTGTAGAAAGAATCCAACACACACGCCCAAGTGAGAGTCAAAAGGAAAGCTTATTAGAAAAGGGGTAACACTCCACAGACAGAGTGTGGTCTCCTCTCAGAGGCAGAGAGTGAGAGGAACAGTGCAAGAGACAGAGTAAAGGCACTGAGAGGGACCCAGAGTGTCAGGGAATTCAGTTTATATGTCATTCTTTAGTTCCCATTTCCTTTGATATGGACATACAGTGAGGAAGGGGAAGAATACGGAGCATTGAAAAGGTAAGAATGTGTAGAGTGAAAGGCCTGCTGGCTGTTCCCAGCCATAATCCATAGGTTCCCCATGGTTTTAGCCATAGGGAATGACTCTTGGTTCCTGTTTCCCCTTCACAGGTGTGGGGAATGGGTTGTTAGCAATCCCGGTAGAAATCTTTCTCTGTTCTGAAGGTAGAGATCTTCCTCTGTCCTCCTGGCGCCTGTGTTATCGGAGAGTGGGGTCCTCTCCTGGCACGTTGTCCAGGTTCTTGATGTCTCGAATGAAGATTTGAGCAAGACACCGAAGTACAGTAGAAAAGTTTTATTAGAGAGGAAAGTACACCTCCAGAAGTGGAAGTGGGCTTGAGCTAGAGAAGCGTGCCTCAAAAGGCCTGATAACAAAGACGTCAGGGATTTCATCCCTTTTTTGCTGTGGGTGGTTACTTTTCTTAGAGGAGTGGGCTTCCTTGATAACTGAGATTGACAGGGCTCAGTGAGTTATCATTTTACTTTCTACACATGTTTGTTCTCAGAATTCAGTCTGTCATAATGATATTAATGAACTTCTGGGCATACGCATCATATTATAATGATGTTATAATGAGGCTCAGGTGAGTTGAAGGTCCTTGGGTCTTCATTGTGCAGATGTGACCGGCTTAAACTGTTACCTAATTCTCTGCCTACTGGTTTCTTCGTGTGAGTTAAAAAAATGCCTTCTGGCTTGCTTAATTGTGGGTGGATTAGGTGGACCCTGTCTAAGATAGGTTGACCTCAGTGTTTTTGCAGGCAGACCCGAAACCCCCTAACTAACTTTCCTGCCTACCTCTTTTGTAAGAGCCATGAACCCCCTTATTATTAGAA